TGAGTTGAGGTTCATCACAACCCTCAAAGAGTTGAAGATCGAAATGATGCCAAAAGCATTCAAAGATAAACTGATTGAAGGAGGAGAAGAATCATACAAAGTCCAACATGTGCCTTCTATCATATTTCAAAATTGTGATGATTGAATTATGATCATCAGGTAATCTTTCGTTACCCATTTCTAAGCTTACTTTCTTTTGAATTTATTGAAGTGAAATTGATTGATTCGATCAATAATGTTTAGATATCGGTTCCTTTTTTCATTTGTTGTGGAAAATTTTTCTTTATCAAGGTAATGCTCCATTTTCTTTCTTTCTTTTTTTTTTTTGTTGTTTCATCATTTAAGATCTTATCTCTCAGAAAAACTTTATCTGGAAAATTGATATCGATATTGTGATTGATTTCCATTTTCTCAAGAAAACAAAATACAATATTTGCCACGTCAGCAACACTATCCGTTGTTGTATTAACTGAAACAGAGCATCGGTCGTTTCGTCACTTGATAACCTCCTCCTCTCCTTTCCTATTCTCACTCTATCCTCTCTTTTCTATGTGCTTCCGTCAATGGATTCCAACACGGTCTTCTTCTCTTCAAAATTCCAAACCCCAACTCTCCCACCTTCTTCTCCATTGCGCTCTTGCACTAACCTCCCTCTAATCAGTCGACAATTCTTTGGTTTCAATCACACTCTCAGGCCTCCCGGCGCTGCTTCTTCTCTAAGAAAGAAACACAAAAACTTGGGGTTTCTGCGCCTCCACTCTCCTCGCTTTATCCTCAGAGCTTCTATCGACCCCAATTTGGTTCTCGTTGTCATCGGTGTCACCGCATTATCTGCTTTATCCCTTGCTTGCTACAATCAGTTTTTTAGAAAGATTGAGAGTTCAAAAAAGGTGAGTGGACTGATTGAAATTGGAGTTTTCTATTCGGTTTAAATGATCTTTTGCTAAATTGTTTTTTTTTTCTAGTTTGTTTTCATTATCTGACCCTGTATTAAGTGTTGGACCAATCATGCTAATTATGGAAAGAACTATCGGACAAAGCTTGAAATTTTTTGAGTTGTGAATGCACAGCAGAAACGAGGAAGTTTGGATACGTTTTAAACATTCAGAACAAGTGATCATTAATTGATATGCCATGATGCTTATGTTTTATTTGTTTTAGAGCTAACTTGAGAGCACAATTTATTTCATGGTAATTGTGATGGTTTTTCTTTCTATATTATGATTGACGACATTCTAAAGATTGGGCTACAGTTGGATTTAAATGAGTTTATTTCCTGATGTAACTAACTTTTCTAATATGATGCCCCTGTGCAGGTATCTGGTTCCTCACGTTCTGCTTTACCTCAACAAGGATTAGGAAAAGATGGGGCGGTCCAGACCGCTGAGAGTCAGGTTTTGGACATCAGGGATCTTAAAAAGGAGAACTTTGCAAAAGGAAAGGATGATTTGAAAGAGGAGATAAAAGAAGCCACTTATGCTTCTGAAAGTAAAGAGGTGCTTTTGCAGTTTCAAGAAGCTGCTGTCGCGGATGATGTTTCTCTGTTGCATACAACATCAGTTTCAAGTGGTGCTGATTGTCAAGCAGTTACTGCTAATGGTTTTGATGTTTCTGAAGAATCTGGAACTACTGATCTACCTCTTCCACTCACTGGGCTGCTTGAATCAGGGGCAGTGCAGCCGCATATGTTTGCAGCAGAAATGTCTGAACTGCATTTGGAAGAAGTTGAAAGAGTAAATGAATTTGAAGCTGATCTTCCGAGACCAGCTGTAGAGCCTAAGTCTAGTGCTTCTTCAGTTCTTGTAAAAGATGCTCATGTCCTTGTTGGAGAAGGTGAAGCTACTAGACATTATGACATATTCAAAGAATCTGTCAGAGAAGAGCTTCACACCTTCTATGAGGCAGACCACTTGGTGGCAAAATCTTCAACAAACTTAAATGGTCTCAAACCAGCATCTTCTCGTGTGTTCTCTTCAAATAGCAATAGTTTTTCTTCACTGATGCAGAATAGTGAACTAAAAAAGGCCCAGTTATCATCAAAGAACTCTCTCCAAACTCCAGGTTATGCCATAAAAGACATCTCTCATTATGATCCCATCTTAATGTATGTTGTAGTTTAGCATCAATGTCTCTCTCATCTTTACTTTATTCCCTGTTTCAGCAGTTCATCCTGAATTTGGATTTTCCTTTACTAACATTGTTTAAGGTACACTTTTCATCCAGTTATGGCCGAAGGAAAAGTAGCTCAGGCGTATTCCAAAAGAGTCTCTTCTCACAAAAGAAAAGACTTTGGAAGGGGTGGGGAAATTCCAAGAGACAAGGGAAAAAGACACTCCATTCAGGAGAAGGATACAAAGTTGCCCCAGATTCCCTTCCCAAATGGGATGCTTGCTGACAACAAGCAGTGTCCTGAAGATCATTTCAGAACTTACAATCGTCTACTAAGAGATGGAAGGTAACTTTCCATTCACTTCATGTTCTGAAACTCCATTTGTCCTCTTTGGCAAGACTAGTTGAATATCTATCGAAAGCTTGACTCTAAAATGAGGCCAAACGTTTTACTATTTTTATCAGGCATCGAGAAATTTTAACTTCATGATGGCATCTATTATAACCTTTCCTTTTTCTTATATCATTTCTTTGCACCTCTTGATCTTGTCTTTGATGCATATTAGGTTAAGTGATTGTGTAGATTTGCTTGAAGATATGGAACAAAGGGGTTTACTTGATATGAATAAGGTAGGGCTGGTGATTTGGATATATTTCTTTGTTTTTTGAGAAAAAAGAAGTAGACTAGTGTGAATGTCATATTCTTATTCTCTTTTGTGAGAGTATGGTTGTTTGGTTTCAGGTTTATCATGCAAAGTTTTTCAAAATCTGCAATAGGCAAAAGGCTGTAAAAGAAGCTTTCTGTTTCACCAAGCTGATTCCAAACCCAACCTTGAGTACATTTAATATGCTGATGTCTGTCTGTGCAAGTTCTCAAGATTCAGAGGGTGAGTCTATTAAGTGTTGGCATGCTGTTGCTTCTGTCAAACACTCAACCAGGACAGATTACTTCTTGTTCCGAATATCTTTGAATATCTAATGCCTTTCCAAAATTTAGGAGCCTTTGAAGTTTTACGATTTGTCCAAGAAGCTGGGTTCAAAGCTGATTGCAAACTTTACACTACATTAATATCAACATGTGCCAAAAGTGGAAAGGTGGATACAATGTTTGAGGTATGGAAACTTCTTCTAACTTTTCTTGGTACCGATAAAACTTTTACTGTTTAGGTTGTCCTTGCTGCAACAGTTTGCATTCTCCTTTTGCTTTTTCTTATCTTTCCTCTACGTGGAAGTTCTTCCTTCTCAACCTGATTTATACATATAAAGAGAATTCTTGTTTAATCCTTTTTTGTTTTGAAAATTGAAGTTGAAATTTCTGCGCCTATAACTTTCTTTCTTCCAATGTATTTGTCCAAATTTCTTTGAGTGCTAAACTGATATAAATGGTCAAAAAAGAAAAAAAAGGTGCTTCTCCCAATTTTCATTGCATATCTCATGATGACCAAATCTATCTGATGAACCTGTGGTCCTAATTGGTTTTTCAATTACATTTCATAAAATCAATCTATAACTTACTAGTAAACTGATTGTTAATGTGACTCCCTAGGTATTTCATGAGATGGTGAATTCTGGAGTGGAACCTAACGTTAATACATATGGAGCACTGATTGATGGTTGTGCCAGAGCTGGGCAAGTGGCCAAGGCATTTGGTGCTTATGGAATAATGAGATCTAAGGTATTGTTGTGAACTGAAATTATTTACTCCCATTCATTTAACCCTTATTTTATCATATGTAAATAGTTTTCCAGAAACAAGGCTCTACTGGAGGTTCTTGCCAATTTTTATTTGAAATGTGGCTAAATCTTTGCACTGACGAGACAATGTATGCAGTAGAATGTAAAGCCAGACCGAGTTGTATTCAATGCACTTATCACTGCATGTGGTCAATCTGGAGCAGTGGATCGTGCTTTTGATGTGTTAGCAGAAATGATGGCTGAAACACAGCCTATAGACCCTGATCACATCACTGTTGGTGCATTGATAAAGGCATGCTCAAATGCTGATCAGGTGTGCATATCAATTCTTCTCATATTTTCTCAGTATTCCTTTTTCTTCTGTAATGATTGACTTAGCATAATGTATTGCTTACAGGTTGATCGGGCACGGGACGTATACAAGATGATACATGAATTCAACATCAAGGGTACTCCAGAAGTTTATACAATTGCTGTTAATTCTTGCAGCCAGACTGGTGATTGGGAGTTTGCATGCAGTGTCTATAGTGACATGAAAAGAAAAGGTGTGGCTCCTGATGAGGTATGTTCGTACGTCTCTTCCTTTCTTTTCTCCTTCTCCCCCCTGTCCCTCTAATTGGTCAGCACACCAGCTGCTGGGCTTAAAGAAAATGACTGCAATTCCCTTGACTGGAAATTTAGCACATTCTTGTTCTAAGATAAACTAGCAGCTCCCGCAACTAATATAGTAAGACTTTTAAATGTTGTGATATTCACTAAACTTCAATTTTTGCATCTAAGTTACCATCTCCTTTGATTCCAGATTAATTGTCATCGTTATAAATATTTTTTTGCCCAGTAATTTTCATTGTTTACAGTATTTTGATTACTTTCTTTTTTGGATCTTTTGGCTATCACAGCAATATCTTAATCATGCTTCCTTTTCTGCAGGTGTTTATAAGTGCATTAATAGATGCTGCAGGGCATGCTGGACAGCTGGATGCTGCTTTTGAAATCCTAGAGGAAGCGAAGAATCAAGGGATAAATATTGGGATTGTGTCATATAGTTCATTGATGGGAGCCTGCAGCAACGTAAGTGTAATCAGGCAGTCTTTTTTTGAATGTTGATTTAACATTATTACTATTATGTAATGTACTAAGAAGTACATTACTATTATGTATGTATGTTTGAACCTATAGACATGATGTTTAAGGTTTATTCCTGGTCCCAAAATAGACACTTGCAGAATCATTTGAATTTTGTATTTCTCAGCTCGGGCATGCAAACATGCTGTACGGTGTCTTGGATCAAACTTTACATACATACAAAATTTGTATGCCACCAATCCTGTTATGACAATGATAATTTTTCTGAATTAATTCAGGCTAAAAAGTGGCAGAAGGCACTGGAGCTGTATGAAAATATAAAGGCTGTTAAACTGAATTTAACAGTTTCTACA